TAAGAAGTTAAAGTGTGGAGAGACAACGGGGACAACTGAAATGGGCTGCATGCTGGTTGACTCCTGCACTTTTACTGTTCCTTTCTAAAATTTAGAATGTTAAATTCTATAATTCAGTTCGGCCTTTTGGTTTGGTGTCCTTGCAAACCTTGATAGGTGCCATTATGCTGGTTGGATGTTCTATTCTCGGTGTTCAAGAGAATGCAGAACACAGGTCTGATATCAAATTTTATCAGGTCAATGTGGATCATTAGTGCTCAGTTTTTTGCCATCATGCTTGCTTATCCTTTGTGGGGGGTAATTGTGTTTGGTTTTTTGTTACCCTGATAAACAAATTCATCAAAATCTTAAGGCTCCTATTTAAAACAAAAACAAAAAACTAGCAAAACATGCTTGCAAGGTAGAAATAGAAATTTCATATTGGTTGACATATTGGCCTTTTATTACATTCAAATTGACACACTATTTCAGAATTAAACATGGATATACTGCTTATTTTAGAATATTTTAATAATCCCTACGATTTTTTTTTTTTTTTCAAAGAATCAAATTATAAGCATGCATGCAAATCAAAACACTGATCCAAAGACTTGCCCACTAAGGTGATTTTTATTATTTATTTATTTTGTTAAGTTTGAAAATGTGTGAAACCTATGGAAGTCAAACAAGAGCCTCTAGCTCGGCTGGCAGGGATAGGTGAAGGGAAAGGCTTTCATTCAATACAAGTCCACTTGTTCATTTATGACTCTCAAAAGGTTGATTCTGTTCATCTGGACGGGTGTTCTCAGTGAGAGAAATGTTTCTTCAGTCATCTAAGTGACTACTTTAGTCTCGCTGACTGAAGGCTTTTCCAACCTTATAAACAGTACATTTGCACAACTAGCCCACTAAATGAACAATGGGCTGAGAGGTCAACTCCTTGATCATTAACATGCAAACTGTCATGACATTGATCAAATACCATTGATCAGTGGCCATGAGTACCATTCAGAGTTAAAATGGCTGCAATCACAGCATTGTAAGATGTTGACAGATGTACCCTTAGGCACCATCCTCGATTCAGAGATGGTCTTTCCCTTTTCACATAAGTGGCCTCATTGACTCCCTGCTCAAACTAACATTCCTCTGTCCAGGATGTGTACATCCTCATCGAAAGAATTGTCCAGTGGCCGCTGTCTAAATAGACTGCAGAGTCTTGGCCTGACGAGTTCGTTTTTCTGTCTTGTGCTATCTGCTTTGCCAGAGGTTGTTTGGCTTCCCCGATCATGGCAATCCTCCTGGCACTTAACAGCGTACACTACATTACTGTTTGTACTGGGGGACCTGATCCTTGGGGTGGACCAATTTTTGGTGCAGTGTGTTTTGGAGTTTAAAAGGCACAAAGACATTGTGTTGAGAAAAAATGTCTCAACTGTTCTGATACTCCTGACACAACGGATCACAAGGGGTTTTCGCTTGGGCACCAGTTGTCCTTCTCTCCCTGATTGCCTGGTGCTTTAAGCGCCTTCCCAGATTTGACAAATGTCCAGCTGGGATGACCACGTTTACTGATTCAGTTTTGTTGACCCAGGGTGATATATAAAAAAACTTTTTTGGGGGGGTTTTGTTTTTGTAATTCCTTTTTTTGATAGTTTCCAATATAATGGCCACCTCCACTGAAAGGCACTTTCCATCCTCAGCCTGTATCACCACCAAATCAA